GAGACTCGGGTTGCCTTAGTCTAGAAACTGAAGCCTCTAAAGAGGCAGTAGAAGTTACAGAATTTCACACACAGCACTCTGGATGGAGAGACTTTCTCTCAGATTGGCACTGCTGCCGCCAATCAGGAGACACGTTGTGTGGTTACTTCTGGCTTCTTGTTTCATTGAATTTATGCCACCAGACCTGCTGAGTAAGCCTAGGGAGTTTTAAGGATCTTCTTTTACCGTTGGCAGCACACATGCTCATCAGAGGCAATTGAGGCACGTTAAATGTTTTCTCAGATCCTCTGAGCTCCTAGTAGGATCCATCCCTGGACCATTTGGTTGCCTGTCAATCCTGCTGGCACTTGTTAAATCCAAATATTCTCTTGTCTTTCTGTCATATGGTATTCTTCTTCTTGGGATCAGAAGAACAAGGAGATCTGTAAAGCACTACTTCATTCAGGATTTGCTTATTTGCTCTGCCATATTTATAGAGAACAACCATCATGTTTGTAGTTCTTCTGTTGTTTCAGGTGTCTCTACCTATGGGGGCTAGAATCAGACATTTGTTCCCTCTTCCTTGTCAGGAAATTTCAGTACTACCGTCTGCTAATGTCATTGGAATCCTTCCTCGACCAGTGTAACAGTTTGCAATTAGGACAGAACCACAGTGGGTCAAATGTACCTAACTCTGCTCATGGTGATCTTGCAGGACTTTAGATTGCAGAACTTAGTGTTTGGGAAACAATAAATGTCCCGTCTGTTAAAAAGGGATGGCTGTGTCCATGTAGATGTGACTACCTCCTTTGTCCCTGTCTTATATCTTTCTCATGGATGCCCTGTCAAGGAGTTGTGTGTAGAGAACATTTTATCCCAAGCTCAGGCCACTTGGGGAGGGGAATCAGTGCATCTGAGGGCAAGAGGACAGTAGGTTGTGAGTGTTAAGGAAGCTGTATAAGCCTGTATTTGGGCAAGCAAAGGTATGCTGCTCTTTAGATGTACTAAGCCAGCTGCGGTGTATGTTGGATACTTAGCTTGAAGTAGGTCTTCCTTGCTGTTGTACTAACTGCTGAATGCCACTTAAACCTGCCTTCCTATATCTTTGGTCTTTTTGCATCTTGGATAGGGAGCGGCTCAGTGATAGATCATCTGCTTTGCATGCAGAAGGTCTCAGGTTCAATCCCTCACATCTCTACTTAAAAGGATCAAGTGGTAGGTGATGTGGAAGACCTTTACTTGACACCCTGAAGTAGACAATACTGACTTTAATAGACCAGTGGCCTGGTTCAATATAAGGTAGCTTCATGTGTGTCCATATGGCCTTGTCCCACCCTTCCTCCAAGGAGTTCAGGAAAGGTACATGGTTCTCCTTTCTTCATATTATCCTTTGAACAACCCTGAGGCAAGTGAAGTTGAAAGAATGACTGGCCGGAGATTTCTTAGTAAGCTTCATGGTGAAGTGGGGGCTTGATCCTGGGACTCCCCAGTCAGTCTAGCGCTTTACCCACTAGACCCCAGAAGTGTGCTGTTGGAGGCTGATACCTGCTGCGCTTACACAAATGAAATAAGCAGCTGTGTAATGGCTGGCCTTGAGCTTGAAACTCAGTTTGCAAGATCTGAGAATGGCTGTTAACAGTAGGACATTTTGGAGGTCATTCAGTCCTAAGGTTGGAAGCAACTTGATGGCACTTCACACACACACACTTTCCCTTAGTATATAAAACCTTTTAAATAAATTTGCACTATTATACAAGTAGATATCACACAGTTACCACATCATTCCTATGTCCAGGAACATTTAAAAATAACATAAAATACATGTAAATCAAATACATTTTGGCCATGAGGTCTTCCTCAGTGGCTTATATCTTTGTCATACACCACACGTACCATTTTTGTTAAAATTACAACAAGCCTGACTAAAGCACTAAACATCCTGAAAAACAAGAAAATGGAAAAGAAAATTTATTTGGATTAATTATTGTGTGAGTTAAAATATAATTACTATTTTAATGATTTAATAATGGGCTTCATTATTATTGTTTATTATTTAATAATTATTTTAAAGTAATGTATAATTATTAAGGTTAATAATGAAACTTATTCAAATTACTCATCCCTACTAGATGTAAATTTTTTTACAAGAACTAAGTATCTCCCTTTGTTGTTATTTAGGACTATCAAAGATAACTTATCCAGATGGCTGGTGTTAGTGGTCCAGATTTCTAAAATATGCAGAGGAGAATACAGACCATAATTTTAAAAAAATCATTCAGTCGATTGAAATTACAGAAGAATTTAAACCAGAGAATATTGGAAACTTTACCTCCATAAGCCAGGTCAAGATAAAGCATTGCTGAGTGGTGTGCATAACCACATACAGGAAACCAGATCTCAATCAATCATCACTGTTATCCTATATTTATACTGTCAAGTACAAAGAAGGTGGGGGAAGATGATGCAATATAGTACCAGGTTACCATATCTGAAGTTGCCTTATCCCTAATACCTTGTGATGGCAGGCAAAAGGGATCTTACGTCCATGCAGAATCAAGTGAAGTGACTCAGCTGTTATCTCGGAAAGCACAAGACCAATCTGTTTCCTTTTTCAGGCCAAACGGCACCAGGGTGTTCAATGTATAGATCCAGAATGTCTCTCTTCTTCAATGGACAGTGCAGCTACGAATCTGACAATTGTAGACTTTCAGTGATCCAGAACAGCTTCTTATCTGAGTGTTTCAAGGCCACAAAATGGCCAACCAGCAGAGCCTGCATTCTCTGTAGTCTAATGAAGTAGTCTAATGAATTCTCTGTAGTCTAATGAATTCTCTGTAGTCTCTAGTGAAGTGGCTAAATTTGCTGCTGTTGTTCAGGGTGGTGAAAACCAGTGAGGATTGTGAGGCACTCCAAAGGGATCTGTCAAGGATGGGCAAGTGGGCGTCAACATGGCAAATGGGGTTCAATGTGGCCAAGTACAAGGTGATGCACATTGGAGCCAAAAATCCTAAATATAAATACACATTGATGGGGTCTGAACTGGCAGAGACTGAACAAGAGAGAGATCTTGGAGTTGTAGTGGATAACTCACTGAAAATGTCGAGACAGTGTGTGACCCACACAGTCACCAGAGGTCGTCATGACTTCCAGGTGCACACACAGTCAGTCACCAGAGTCGCCATGACTTCCAGGTGCGCACGCATGCAAGGACATATGAAAAAATACCCCAGAAAAGACTTTAAAAAAGCATGCAGCAAGGGTGATCTTTTAGTTAAATTTCAGCTTCCCTGTGCTTTATAACATGTGATTCAGGTTTCACTGCTTAACAAAACAATAAATAATGGGCTATCCTGCAAACATGGTTTATAGAATCTTGTTGTCAGGATCCTGGTGTAGTTTTCCAGCACCTTTGCCTTGAGTCTCCCTCCCCCACCCATGGAAGTACATACAATGGGCATGTATCCTACCCTAGTTTCCTCCAGTCTGAGGACGCCTCTGCCAACACAAGTGGTTGTTCCATGTGCAGAAGAATCACTTAAACTGGCGGAAGTCTCCTTATGCTGGAGGAAGGCTTCCGACTTTGCTCAGTGGTGCAATAGAATGTAAACTGCACTGTTGCCACCAGAGGTCATTTCACGGGGGATCGCAGCTCCCCCGGGTGAGGTACGGGGGGCGGGGCACATGAGAGTGTTGGACTGGATGGGCCTTTGTCCTGATCCAACATTGGCATCTCTTTATGTTCTTATGTTCTTAATTCAACTTATATATTCACACATGTGTGTTTTTATAAATCTTGTGGTCACCCCTACATACATTAACCCACAGGGCCATTGTATAGCATAGCTCACACCTTTAGAAATACAGTTTACAAAAGATCTTATATAGTAATTTATGGTATGAGAAGAATCCTGAAATTTGTTTGTTTTAAGACATAGACAACAAACTGCACATCTCCCACAAAGAAAATTTCCCTTTGGAGTCCTCCTGTCATCCATCCAAGTATTAATTTATGTTGATTCTTTCAGTTTACTCCCAACCAGCATATCTTTAAAGTTCTTGGCACACTTATATGTAAACAATAGACGAGATTTATACCTAGGAGTCCCAGAAAGACGATGCCAATGTTTTTCAAGTATTCCTCTAACACTAGCATATGTGTGATCACATGTGAGAGAAACCAGCATTCTGTCTGTAGATTTATTTCTAGTTTGAGGTATTAACTGGGATGCCCTTGTTATGTTCTTTGCTTTTAAAAAAGCCTGTTTTGGAATCCTAGAGGAATAACCTCTCTCTCTTAGTGGTTCCATTAGTATGTTGGCCTGCCTATAAGAGTCAGAGTCTAGACTACAATTTCTTCTTAGCCTCAACATTTGGGAATGTAAATTCTTTTTAAGATGACCTGTAGCACACTCTCTACCTTCCCTGGTGGGAATGACTCAGAGAACTCTTCCTGAGTGGCATCTTTGACCAAAACTCTTGGATGGGCGATGCCTGTTGCTCTAGCAAAATATATATGTCTCATTGCTTATAGCCCCTGTCAGCCAGCAGGGTAGCAACAAATTTATACTTGCATTACATAAAAATTAAATTTGGTTGGACTGCATATTTCTGTGGAGTGCAAAGATACACAATTTGTTTGCAGAGAAAGGTGTGTGGGGAAATGGCTTTGAAAACTTCTCTAGTTCAGATTTTGTGTTGTGAAAATACTTGGCAAGCCTGCCCCTGGGCTTTGCTCACGTGAAACTGACAAGGGCTTACAGCTCAGGCCTTTGGAGGAGGCAGCGTTGGAGTCTAGGACCCACCCCAGGCACAGTTTGCTGTTGTGCTGCTCTTTTGTTGTTTATTAGTTTATGTCTATAGGGGGAATGTTGTTGTAAGCTGCTCTGGACCCCTTTGGAGGGAAAATTGGGATACAGATATTTAAAATATTGGGAAATGTCTGTTTTGGAATGCATGCGTGGGAAGCAGATGGGTATTTGTCACAGGATAGCTAATGCATAAATCTCTTATTTTCCTTGTAGAATGCATCGTGTATCATTTTTGCCGCTAGACATGCCAGCGCCTCCACGGTAAGTGGTTGTTCCATTTCTGGTGGGTTGTGCTGGGGAGATGAAATTTGGCTATTTAGCCTTCAGGGGCTATACCTAGGATCATCCATAAATTGCCCATAAAGAATACAGATTCGCAGAAAACCTTGTGAGTGTTTCATTTTTTGTTCATGAATCAAACATTTATTTTGGGGTTGTCTCTTCCCTCTTTATCACTCTTCCCCCTCCCCTCCTTTTTATGGGTGAATTACTGTTGTTGACTGGTTCTGTGTCAGGACTCACTTTACCTTTTATTTCAGAATCTGAAAGATGTTCTTGCAAGCATGATACCCAAGGAGCAAGCAAGACTTAAAAGCTTCAGGCAACAATATGGCAGCACGGTCATTGGCCAAATAACTGTGGATATGGTAAGTTGTTCTGGCGTGTTGGCAGCAGGGCTAGAGAGTAAAATTTTGCCATTGTAGGCTGTGAGAGGTTAAAGCTCCGTGTGCAGTAGCTGCTACCATCCCCATGGAGTTATAAAGATACTTTTGTTCTGTGCTAGCTACCTCCAGGAAGGTAACATGCCTTCAGTAAGGATGAAGCATAGTCCACTTCCTGTTCCAGAGCCCATGGCTGTCCCTTTTGGCTCTTTTAAGGGAATTTGCTAGCAAGAGACCTAGGCAAAGCCTGTACTGTGTCCACTTTGTAAAAGCACTGCTGTGAGCGAGAAGAATGGGAGGGATGCTGTGTTGTTAAGGTATATCAGAAAAGGAGCCATAGCTCAGTAAAGATTGCATGAATAAAAACCGAGATGCAGTCCTTGGCACCTCAATCTGTAGGTTTCTACTTAGCAGAGCTAGAAATTACTTCTTCCTTTGGACTGTGAAGAGCCACATAGGTCCATAGTGCTGAGCTGAATGAACCGATATTCAGGCTGCCTTCAGGAAAGCAGCTGATAAACAATGGGCATGGAGCCTGCTGATGCATTAGTCATGGCTGTGTTGTGTTTCTTGTTAAAAGAAATTAAATATTTGTATCTGGGCAGTCTGAATTATGTGCCAAATAAAGCTGCATTCTGCAACCTTTATATATTATGCAAGCTAAGCTCATGACATATTATTTTGCATAATTTATTCAGCTGTTTTTACCATGCTACACAGTTTTGATTTTACTAGTCATCAAAGAGGCAAGTAATTGCAGAAGATATTGCAGACCTACCCTTGACCAATGGAAACTTTAATAAGCCATCACTGTTTTGAGATCAGCTGGGAGGCTTCACACATTTCACTATGTCTTTGCAGCCATATGCAGTAGAAACTTGGTTTATTTAAAAAGAGGAGAGCTGAGATTCATAAGAAGCTGAATACACTGCCTGTTACACATCCTGCAGTCTTTCTACACTTCCATGGAACCTTGTATCCATCCATCCTTGATCCTAGTGACTGTGAGCCCCAGCTTAGACACAGTTGATTTCCTGATTTGGAAGAACATGCCTGGGTCACTAACCATTTGAATCAGCCTTTTTAATCACACTGACACTCCCAAGGGAGGATTCAGCTATGCTGGATCAAGTAACAAAGTCCCTGGATGCCTACAACAGGGATTAGCTCCAATGTCCCATCCCAACCCACGAATCCTAAACTTTGTGTCTGAAAATGTTCACTGGTGTTTATTAGATGCACTTACACTGCATTGGAAATACAAAGCAACTAAAGTTAATGTTACTCAAAGTGTAAACTATTCTGGCTAAAATTTGGGGGCTATGTTGCCATTTAAAAGAAATGTAGAACAGACACTAATGGAAAAACCAGGCAGGCATGAAGCAAATTAAAGAATTGTGCACATCCCTACAATAATTTGTTCAAACTGTGGTGGTGTTTGACTAGACTAATTGCTGACTAAACAGGGGCTGTGTATATTTACCTTTGTGTAATATAATATGTAAAGTATAACTTTGTGTATTTGTAGAGAAGAGCAAGAGTCTGGCAGCACCTTAAAGACTAACAAAATCTGTGGCAGGGCTTGAGCTTTTGTGAGTCACTGCTCACTTCTTCAGGTACACCTAGAATGTGAGTCCATCTGTCCTTATCTGTTGGAGAGTGATTTCAAATGCTGAATGATGACAGCAGGCAAATTTATTTATTCTTATTTGTCAAATTTGATTCGTTGACTGCCCTCCCCCATAGGACAGGTCTCAGGGCGGTGTACATCAAAGAACTGTGACATAAATATAATAAAACATTAAAATCATGAAAATATACAACAATAAATTATCAGTCAGATGGCGATGAAGCTGCCATAGTATGCCACTGCCTGGCGGGGAGGAGAAGCAGGAGTGCCAGCCAGATGGAAAGCCATCGCTGTCCTCAACTGAATGCCTGGCGGAACATCTCTGCCTTACATGCCCTGCGGAAACTGCATTAAGTCCCGCAGAGCATGGATATAACTCCGCAGAGAGTTCTACCTGGTCGAGGACAGCTGGATGTCTCTCGGGCTGGGGACCACCACTCAGCAGTCTCTCTTTCTAATCTCCCTGTGAAATTCCTTTGTAAAAGAACTGCTACTGTTAGGTCAGGCAGTGAAAATGTCATCAATGAATCTCAAGTAAAGGTGTCAATGGGTGGGAGTTCAGAAAACATTGTTCTAGAGCTGCCATGAAGATGCTGGCATACTGTGAAGCCATGTGGGTGCCCATGGCTGTACCATTGATTTGAAGGTATAGGTACTCACGAGACCTGAAGTACTTACGGGTGAGAACAAACATACAGAGTCCAGTGGCAAGATCTGCTGTGATGTTGTCAGGGATGATGTTTCTTATGGCTTGTAGTCCACCCATCAGTGAGATTCATTGATGACATTTTCATTGTCTGGACTCATGGCAAAGAAGTCCTTGAAAGAAATCACCAGGCTTTCAATAAATTTCACCCTGCTATCAATCTATGAATTACTCTTATGCAAGAAATAAACTTCCTGGAAACCACCGTGTGGATTCTCTGTAGCCAAGTCCTGCGCTGTAGTTGCATCTTCTTCAACCCCTCAAACTGAGATACTCACTTGAAAGATCTACAGCAGGCATTTTTACAACTACAATACCCTCCTGATATAGTAAGAAAGATGACTGGAAAGGCCAGATACCCAGGGACAGCTTGCTATAAGACAACCCAGAGAAAATAACAACAGAACACCACTGGTGGTCACATAAAGCTCACAACTCAAGCCAATTCAATGTATTATTAACAACATACAGCCCATGCTGGTTAATGACACCTCTCTCACACAGGCACTGGGGTGGGGGGGGGGAGGGGTTCGACCTTTTCTTACTTACAGCCTGCTAACCTAAAACAACTTCTCAGCCACAGTGATAAACTGCTTAATAGTAACATGGACTCTGGTGCCAGGGCCTGCAAAAACCAAGATGTCAACTTTGCTCTCATGTAGATCCTGGCAACACTATCACTGGATGCAGCAATATCAGCCATACAATCTGCAGGTCCATATTCCTGCTCATCTCTAATGTGATTTATGCCATCATGTGTCAGCAATGCCCTTCCACTCTCTACGTAGACAAACAGGCCAATTCCTACAACAAAGAATAAATGGACATAATTCTAACATTAGAAACCACAACATTCAGAAACCAATGGGGGAACACTTTAACCTGCCCTGAGCCTGCCTTTGTGGGGAGGGTGGGGTATAAATTAAATAAATAAATAAAACCTTCCAGGACATTCAGTTGTTGGCCTAAGAGTAGCAGTTCTCTTTCAAAGGAATTTCAAAGGGAGATTAGAAAGAGACTGCTGAATTGCAACTGGTAATGATGCTCAAGACAATGCATCCTCCTTGACTGAATGGGGACCTAGGCTCCTGTGTTAACTTATTACCAGTGCTGATTTCCCAACGCTTGCTACCCCTCTGCATATCATACCTAATCTAATCACACCTGCTGTTGTCATTTGCCTGATGTTATCATTTGGCATCTGTAATCACTCCGTTCTCCAATATGTAAGGGCAGATGGACTCACGTTCTAGCTGTATCTGAAGATGTGACCAGTGTTCCCTCTAAGCTGAGTTAGTGTGAGCTAGCTCACAGTTTTTTAGCCTCCGGCTCATACATTTTTGTCTTGGCGCCGGAAGGGTGGCTCCAGAATAAACTGATTCATGCAGCAGCCAAATCATTTGCTCACAACTTTAATACCAGGAGCTCACAAAGTAGAATTTTTGCTCACAAGACTCCACAGCTTAGAGGGAGCATTGGCAGTGACTCATGGAAGCTCATACCCTGCCACAGGTTCTGTTAGTCTTTAAGGTGCTACTGGCCTCTTGCTCTTTTCCACTGCTACAGACAGACTAACACCCATCTTGATCTTAATCTATCTCTTTATATATTTGTGTAACACACAATGCATAGATTCAGGTGGGTAGCCGTGTTGGTCTGAAGCACCAGAACAAAGTTTGAGTCCAGTGGCACCTTTAAGACCAACAAAGTTTTATTCAAGGTATAAGCTTTTGTGTGCCAGCACACTTCCTCAGATATAGTGAAACAGTTTCCTCAAGCCCTACATACTTGGGGGGGGGGGGCAGCCATCAGGAAGTGCCAGTCAGAGCCAAGATGCATAAGTAAAGCTGAGAATGTATCAAGGCGGCCAGTAAGATCAATGAATGGCAGCATATTAGCACACAAATGCGAGAGCTAACAAACATGTGAAAACGAAGCTTGAATCCGGCAGCACCCCCAAGCCAACCAAGCTCAACCCTGGGTACATGCAAGAACAGAGAGACTCTGCATTTGTAGATGTGCACTTCTTCAAATACATTTAAACAGATTTCCTCAAATACTACATATAGATGGGGGGGTTGGTTGCCAGGAAGAGCTAATTAGAGTCGATGCCTAAGTAACTGAGCAATAAATACAGATTGGAATAGCACATTCGGTAAGACATGCAAATAGCAGTAAATTGGTATACAAATAATAAAGGAGTTAACAGATGTGAGAGCTAAGTTTGAGTCCTGCATTGTAACTGAATGCAGAGTTACTCTAAATTCATTGAAATTAAAGGATTTTTACTGGAGTGACTGCATAAAATTGCAGAGTTTGCCTGAGTAACAAATCCTGGCTTGTATGGAAGCACTAGTTCTGCATCTGGCCTGTTCTCCACTTCCCAGCAGTGGAGGTCTTCCCTGTACTGGTGGTCGCAAGGTTCAGTGCTGTCCAGCAAAATGTGGCTTGTACTAATTGTAAATTGTGCCACTGTCTGAATTCACACATTGGCTTTGAATGCTAATATCCTAGTTCGATGCTGACCAAGAAACCCTAATTTGTGGGATCTTCTCTCAGACTTATGCAAACCGTAATGCTTACATGCAGGGAAATAACATGCCGTTTATGTGTAGATTATGTCCCACACAGAAGTGTCTGCTCATATGTGAAGCGCCCCTGTGGATCTTTCTGTAGAGCTTGGGTTTGGGGGTGTTCAAGTATAAAAGAATTTCTCTAATTACAAGTGCATCATATGAACACATGAATGCCTTATACTGAATCAGACCCTGGGTCCATCAAAGTCAGGATTGTCTACTCAGACTGGCAGCAACTCTCCAGGGTCTCAGGTTGAGGTCTTTCACATCATCTACTGCCAGATCTTTTTACTGGAGATATGGGGGATTGAACCTGGGACCTTCCGCGTGCCAAGCAGATGCTTTTCCACCGAGCCACAGCCCTTTCCCATTTCAGATTTGCACTGACTTGCATTTTTATCTGCCTTGAGTACAAGGAAATGAGCTGGGATATAGGTTTTTTAAATAAAAAATTAATTGGTGGGATAGGGACAGGGCAGAGATTGTTCTGCTCTGTCCACTGCATGTCCTGGAAGAGGTGAGCTGCCTCAGTTTTCTGGAGATCCCACCTCAATGTCCTCCTCAGTCCTTGACTGATTTCCTGCTTTCCCCTTCCAGATCTATGGCGGCATGAGAGGTATGAAAGGGTTAATATACGAGACCTCTGTGTTGGATCCCGATGAGGTAAGTAAGCTTGAGCCTGTTGCAACAGTTGTCTAGTTGTGTGGCTTGTCCACTGAGATGTAAACCTTTGTGTGTGGGGGGGTTTTGTGTTTTTTTAGGGTATCCGTTTCCGTGGCTATAGTATTCCTGAGTGTCAGAAGCTGCTGCCCAAAGCTCCTGGAGGTGCAGAGCCCCTCCCAGAAGGGTTGTTTTGGTTGCTGGTGACAGGAGAGATCCCATCCCAAGATCAGGTAATGAACCTGTCTGTGAAAGAACAGGGGGTATCTTAAGTTCTCTCTCTAGCTTCTGATCACAGGGAGGGTGGGAAGGCTGCAGTCTCTATCCACAGTCCTTGCAGCTTGGTTGAACAGCAGCCTAAGAGGGGTGGGAAGGGCAAGGGAAGGCTATCTGAATATCAGCCCTGTTCCTAGTGCAGAGCAGTGACATGTTTTCTCATCTTCAGGTGACCTGGGTGTCCCGAGAGTGGGCCAAGAGAGCAGCTCTGCCTTCCCATGTGGTCACCATGCTGGACAACTTCCCTACCAACCTTCACCCCATGTCCCAACTCAGCGCTGCAGTCACCGCCCTCAACAGCGAGAGTACCTTTGCCCGCGCCTATTCAGAGGGAATCAGCCGGACCAAGTACTGGGAGGTAACTGTGAATGGCAGGTGAAGATGAGGGACCCTCTCCCACTGTGTGAGCTACTACTGGCTTGACCACCTGCAGGTGGAATTTTGGGGAGTTTTCTGTTGGCAGTCTAGGTGGTCATGGCAATGGCGCTCTGCAAAATCTACCTTATTTACTGGCAGGAGACAATAGGATTGTGTCCTCGAGCTGGAATGTGGCTTCTAACGGACAACAGTAGGCAGAATTTCACAGCATTGACTATCTGAGCTTTTTGTCACTGCTGACAATAAATGGCACTTGTCCGGCTCTGAATGCAGAGAGGAAAATTGCTTTGAAGGTAGAGAAATTCTGTTTTGCTGTGCATTAAACAAACACTGAAGACTAATTTGTTCAGATTCGTCTGCATTGGAACAAAACATGGGAGCTTCAGATTTCCCCATCCCCAGCTGCTGCCCAGGATTCCTTCATCCTAGTGGGGTGGACTGGCCTTGCTAGTATATCAGGTACTGGCGAAGTTGTCAAGTTTGGGAGGTTGGACAAGGCCGTGCACAGTCTGAGCAAAGCGCCTGCCACAAAATGTTAGATTTGGCCTATGCAGTCTGCCAAGTCCTGGCTGCCCTTTTCTGTCTGGTTGGTTAGGCTTTCCCTTTCCAGTTCGGGAGAGCACCAGCTCAGTTAGCTTTCATTTGATCCTTTAGCACGTGACAAAGGGCTGAGAGAGTCTACATTGTCTGCAACCTTGGTCATTTGCATGTGGAAACCAGCTGCCCTGGAAACAGGAGACCTTGAGTGCAGTGACATGTGCCTCTGGCCTGACCCAAATGTGCATGCTTATCCTTATCCAGCTGCACAGAAGGAGAGAGACTTTGGTCTCCAGCCTCGTCCAGCTCTACGAACCTTTATCTGTCTCGTGGACGTTACTCTCAGGAATGGTGGGGTGGGGGGAGAGCCCTTCTTCCGCTCTGTGTCCAGTAAATAGCAACCGTTCAGCCTAGTGTAGAAGTCGGGGTGTATTATACCTGTCCGTGGCACAGCTAGGAATGGCATTTGGTGAACCTTTTGTTTCCAAAACTAGTTTGTATCTGTTGTCTGAAACCATGTGTGCACTTAAAATTCCACATTACTGGAATGGGAAAGGAGCACTGAGACGTGGGCAAGCCCTCTAATAGAAAACAGAACATGACAAATGAGCTTGTTCTTTGTTTGGGTTTCTTTGCCAAACTAGGAATATATTAGGCAATAGCTAGTTCACAAATGCTTTCTCTTTCCTGGGCTTCATTTAACTTCCTGCAATGACATTTCCCTCTGCCATATCTCTTTGACAGTTCATAGCACCTCCGTTGGTCATAGTGTAGTGGTTAGAGTGTTGGATTAGTAACTTGAAGACCCTGGTTCAAATCCCCAGTCACCGAGAAAGCTCACTGGGCAATGTCAGAAGACGTTCCCATTCAAAATCCCTATGGATGAAAGTGAACACCTTGCGTGGAAGACTAGTACTGTCAGAATCTGCTCCAAGTTTCCTGTATTCTCTTTCTGCTTCTCAAAATGAGTGTGCACTCAGCCATCTCTGTCCTTTCTCCCATCTTTGCCATGCTGTCTAGAGCAGCTCCCCCTTTGCTTAAAATACTTTATTGTCTCCTATGGTGACCCAATCTTGTCCTTTCTCCATTAAACCATGCACCTTTTATATTTTGCCTTAATGCCCCTTGGTCATCCCTGCCTCTGCTTTCTGTATAAGACTGTAAAGCCTATGAACAGGAAAACAGGAACAATCAAGCTTGTCTTCTCTTAAATGCTAGTTCATATGTTGCCTCTGTAGCTGGCTGCTACTCTTAATGTTACTCCTGTGTGAGTGGGCTCTTCATAGGCAGAAGGCATTGCTTCTCACACCACCATTGCAGTTCCATCAGGGTGTGGCTAGTACGGAATGTAAGCAGGTGAACGATGCAGTGTGGCGCGCCTGACGGTTAATGCAGGAGCATGGAGTGCAACCCTATGGGAATGCTTGTGGTAGCAGCCACAGTTCAGAGATAACCTATGAAACACCCTGTAAATTAGGCACATCTTAAATTTATTGGAATAGGTGTTCTTGCAAGAAACAACAGTAATACAGAAAAATGGAAAAATAAAGTCCCAAAAATTTCAGTGTGTCTCACTCCTGTTGTATTGTAATTCCATAGTCCAACTTGACATACATTCATCATTAAATAGTATTTTTATTTATTTTTATCTTTAGCCAGCGGGTTTTTTTGTGCTTTGTACCATTTCTTGTACGCTGGTTTCCCTTCTTTTTGGGTTGTCTTTTAAAGATAGCAAATCAAAAATCATTTTATTTTAAAGGCAAAGCCAAGGTTTTCAAGGTATCCAGAAACCAGAGTTGTCCCCTCTGGCTTCTAAGACTGCAGAAAGTGCTGGTCTTCCATGGTTGCTTGTGATAACGAGAGCTAGAAATGTGTTCAGAGTTCTTTATTCTCCGGTTGTTTGAAGAATGGTGCTGTGTATGTTGTTGAAACACAGTCCCATTGTTGAGTACACATCCTTGGTTCAAACTGTTGCAGCTGTAACTGGTTAACTGCTGGTATTGGAGCAGGAAGGCTTTTGAACACACAGGCTGTAGTAGTTTGACCTCTGTCACCCACCTCTTTGTACAGTTCATCTACGAGGATTCCATGGACTTGATTGCCAAGCTGCCATGTATAGCTGCAAAGATCTACCGTAACCTGTACCGTGAGGGCAGCAGCATTGGCGCCATAGACCCTGCCTTAGACTGGTCACACAACTTCACCAACATGCTGGGTTACAGTGACCCACAGTTCATTGAACTCATGCGGCTCTACCTCACCATTCACAGGTAAGTCCTGTCTGTGTTTGTGATGTGAAAGCTACTGGGGGCTCTGACTTCTGGGGCTGTAAGGGCTGCTGCCTCCACTTGCTTGAGTGGCAGAGGTTGCGTGGAGGAAGGGTAAGATGGCGGAAGGAGCCTGCTCTGAGTTGGTCGTAGGGAGCTGCAGGCTTCTTCCTGTTGGTTCTTGGGTTGTCAGGCACTTGTCGTGAGCAGAGCAGGAGCTGGCCAAGGGCATTCTTGTGTCTGGATGCGGAGGCTACCTGTACTGGTGCTCCCTTCATCTTGGCTGAGTTGGTAGTGGCAGAAGGTCCAGTTGCTGTGCCAATGCAGGATTGATATTGTTGAAAACTGGGGCTTGGTTGGTCGGGCCTGAGTGTTTGAAGCACTGGGTCTTCGTGCAGTGAGTAACAGCAGAAAGTATCTGGACCTTTTTCTTTCCTGCCCGCTACTTTTCCCCATGCGCTCTGTTACACTCTTGCTGAAAGGAGAGGCAGCCCAATATACCCCTGCTGTCAGTCTCAATGCATGTGGCTCATTCCTCCGTATTTATGAGCCATTTGATACTGGGACTGACCAAAGCCTGGGAACCCATTCTCCTGCTTTTGAACTGGATAACACTGGCCTGGACACTTCGGGACCAATGCTCCCTCTAAACTGTGGAGTCTTGTGAGCAAAAATTCTACTTTGTGAGCTACTGGCATTAAAGTGGTGAGTGAGCGATTTGGCTACTGTATACATTAGTTTGCCCTGGAACCATCCTTCCTGAGCTAAGACAAAAATGTGTGAGCTGGAGGCTAAAAAACTGTGAGCTAGCTCACACTAACTCAGCTTAGAGGAAACACTGTGGACCCAGATGCAGTGCTTTGGCCTGTTATTGTTGCTTGATGACAACAGTATGCCCCCTGGATCAATGCTGTTCTTCTTGTCCTAAAAGAAAATATAATCTTGCCTTTTGGCTTTCCCAGTGTCTATTCTTTAGATGCGACATTCTAGCAGGGTGTGAGTCAGTAAACCATTTGTTTCTCTGTAGCCAGAACCATTTGCTCTAGAGTGATCTTTGCTTGAGGTTTGAGTCATCTGACAGCACCTTTCCTTTTTGGTAGCTACAGACTTGCATCTGGGCTCCTGCTCCTAGAGTGCAGTCCCAACTTTTGGAATACTGATGTGCATTCTAGGTGGAGGGTGCATTTCTCCAAAGAAGGTTTTTACTATTAGCTGGGGTACACTAATAGCTGGGGTACAGTAGAGATGAAAGAAATTTGGATGAGTCAGTGTGGGGGACAACATTTTCAGGTTTGCATATGAGTGTGAAGAGATCAGAAATTTGACATTACTTCGGGGGGTTTTGTGTGTGTATGGCTAGGCTTCATATTTTGTATGTGTTCTGTGTATCATGTTAGTGGTGAGGCTTTGAAAATATTCTGTGCTGTGATGATCTCACAGCAAGAGTTGTGAGCTAGTCTGTGCTTGGCCATGACCTTGCTGGATAGTCTCAGACTAGCCAAGCATCCCCCATCTGTAGTATAGGCCTATCTTGCAGTGTCTTTTGGAATCATCATCTATATATCTAATAGTCAAGTGTGGGCTGATCTGTGGATAACTAAGTCTACAGATTGGGCCCACAACTGATAGTAAACAGATGTTTCTGCAAACTTGGGGGAGAGGGATACAGGGGAAAGTGAGGTGCTCCCCGCAAGTTGTTGAGGGTTCCCTACCATGCAAGTGGGCCTGATCCAGCAGTTCACAGTGTACAACAGGACCAAAATTTTTCCAGGTAGAGGTTGCCAGTATGTGGGGGAGAGCTGAAGACAGAGAGGCAGAAAGGTAGGTTGGCTCTTGGGTGGGAGGGAGAGAAGAAAGCAGGAAGAGAAGACATGGGGGCTTTTAGACAGGGAAAGGAGAGCTAGTGGGGGGGGGGAGAGGAAATGAGATGCCCCCGCAGGTCCTTGCAGGTTCCTGCTTGTATGGCAGTAAATACCGATGGTTCTACCAAGCTAGATCTTGGTGTTCCGAGTGCACCTGTTTGATTCAAGTTATGTGTACATCTATAAAACAAAACTTGCATATTAATCTGTATACCACCTTTCCAGCATTGCTACAGAGACTTGAACACAAGCAGTACACAGTAAAAAATAGATTTAAAACATCAGTAAAACAGCTAGAGAGGCCATCTAGGATCATGGTATGAACTGTTCATGTTGCACTGTGCTCATGTAATATTTTGAATTATTTGGAGGTGGTTTGTTGTCTTTTTATTTTAACCAGCCATAAGTTTTTCTTAAGAAGGGAACTTATCCAAATTCAGTGGCAATACACAGTCAGATATTAATAAACTTTGCTTCAGCTCTGCTCTGCTCTTCTCTCCTTCCCTTCCTCTTTTACCACAGTGACCATGAAGGCGGGAATGTTAGTGCCCACACCAGCCATTTAGTGGGCAGTGCCCTTTCGGACCCTTACTTGGCTTTTGCTGCGGCTATGAATGGTCTGGCTGGGCCACTCCATGGTCTTGCAAATCAGGTAGGGAGCTGCAATTCTCAACAATCCTGGCACAGCCCGAGTTGTATAGAGTGGATCTGGGAAGGTTTCCCTCTTGTTTTTACTTATTATCACGTGCTCTTTACAGGAAGTGCTGGTATGGCTGACAAACTTGCAAAAGGAGCTGGGTGAAGATGTGTCAGATGAGAAGCTAAGAGATTTCATCTGGAATACCTTGAACTCGGGCAGGGTGAGTGGAAGCATTCAAACCTGGTGGGTAACCAAGCAAGGATTTGTTTAAAGGAAGTAAGCTGTAGGGCTGGTCATTTTTAAAAAACCAAATAGCATCTACTGTAAGGAGTCTGCAGCAGGCAGAAAAGAGAATTGTGCTGATGACAGGGCATAGCACTGCTGAAGAACTTTTCCAACTTCCTGACCTAGACTAAGAATGCTTAGGATCAAGGCTGTGCTAGAAATAATAGAATTCTGCACCAAGAGTTCCTGAAAGTTATAAAAATTATACCAGATTTGATTATGCAACTCTGTGCGATCTTGGTTTGCCAAGCAGTTGTACAGGGTCCCAAAACACCACTGGGAATCTGAAATAAGAGACAACCCCTGCCCCCAGGCTACTTCTGAAATCTGAGCAGGCATGGTCCATAAACTCTCAAGCTTGTCTTTTCAAACAGAATGGCTAGACACTTTGATTTTAAAGATGATAGGGTAGATTTGCCAGAAGCTGAATCCTGCATACACTACCACAGTCTTATGTTTTTCCTGTATTTCCGTATATACACAACTCTGGCATATACACAACCATGGCTGACTATTTTTTTTAATCTCCCCTCTTCTCTTGATGTGTCATGAATTCCAATCTTGAACTTGTCTAATGACCATATAGATTAGCACATGCTTTAAATCCTGTTCTAGAAAGTATCTGCTCTCTATCACATTGCCTGTTACTAAGACTGGGGGGTGTCCATTATCTCTCAGTTACTCTGCAAAGCCATTAGAAATTAACACACGCAAACTCTGTAAAGGAGGATCTGGTAGTTTGGAGTTGATAGTTTTAACTGACATTGAAAGAGGCAATGGAGAGGTGGGTCAGGAGTGCCCAGTGGTTGGGAGCTAAAAAGAAATGGTGCAAGGCCAGTACTTGCTCGCTTGTCATGTGAAAACCAAGGGTGGTAACAGTACTGGCCGAACAAGGAATCTCAGGTCAGGACTCAGGATCTTTCCTGCTTTATCTGGTCCCAAACAATTTCTCAATTTAGAATGAACGAGTCCAAAGGAAGAGAATATTCTTTCTGTGCCAGCAGAAGAAGCTACTAATCCTGAAAGTGAAATCATTACTTCAGCAGTCTCTAAATCCAAGTGCTTATGTGACTTCGACCAGTTCACTGGTGTGACTTTCTCTAAAACATCACCAGCAAACATATATATTTCCTCCTTCGCACTGAAGTTTGGCATTGCAGGAGGATGATTGCTGGATACCCACTACTTTCTAAGCTCTAACTTCTCTTCTTCAGCACCTAAGGTTTGACCCTGGTACTGGATAGTGACAATATTTGCAAGAAAATGAGCTGAGCTGGAGATAGCGGTTGTCCCATTTGTTGTTAAATGTTTGTCATCGCATAGTTCTGTTTTAAGTGCTCACTCAGCTCCTTCCAAATTTCAACAGTATCAGTAATAGAACAGCTATTTTTCTGTATTTTGTTTAAGACTTCAGAAATGGGTTGAACTTTTCTCTTAAGCCCAATGTTGAGGATTTGGGCTGTGACAGTGCCATCTATTTTCTCTCAATTTTTTCACAAACTGTCTTCATAATAGGCCAATTCTTGATATACTGCTCAAAACAGTCCATTACGGAGTTCCTTCTGACATCTTGTGGGAGAGTTAGCTCGGTTCCACCCATTCTTTTCAGAGCTGCTGCAGCAAAATGATTGTTACTGAAATATTTAGCCATTTCTACCACATAGCCTTTATTTCTGAAACACTGATGTCTTTGGCTAGGAGGTGCATCAAATGAGTACTGCAGCCATATGTTATTAGTTTGGTATTCTCTTCATTCTCTTCTGCTCAGCCTGGGTACATTTGCAGCATTGTCTATGACCAAACGGCACACTAGACATTATAGCTTTTGGTGCTACTTTTTGAGAGTATCCATTTTGTGTGGATTTCCTGACGTTATCAGTTGTTTATGCAAGGAAGGCATTTCCCTCTTCTGTTGTACAACAGGATCATTGTGGACATTGCTCCACCCATCAAGACTTACCGTAGGTTAACAATTTTACCCTGTAGACTTGTTGCACACTACTCAGTTTTTCTTTCACACGCTTTATCCAGCAGTTTCCCTAAAATATCTGCTCCGCAGGGTAGCCTGTATCCTGGTCTTAATGACTGGATCATATTAATGAATATCAGTTTTCAATCAGATGGAAAGAAGAGTTTGTTGCATAAAGAAACTGGGCAACTTTTTCATTGGTTAACTCTTTTTCTAATCTGCTGGCTCTTATCACATACTTACGCATGGTGGTTCCTGGATGGTGGAATTTTTTTCTTTTAGGTGATATACTGTGGCTGTGTGATGAGATGCATATGATGTGACTGAATCACCATCCTGGACAGATAACTCTATTTATTTATTTATTTAGAGCATTTTTACCCCGCCCTCCCCGCAAGCGGGCTCAAGGCGGCTTACAGGGAGTAACTCTGAAACTGTAGAACAGGAGGATGGTGATGTAGAAGGTGGATAATTTCCAGAATTCTGTATGTTGACCATTGATTCCCCTAAACAAAACAGTCAATGCTGTTATTTCATTATTTATAAGATTTCTGCCTATTTAGTATTACTCGTTGTATTCACTGCCACTCAGTACTGCCTGAAAAAGGAAGCTTTGTCTGTCTCAGCTATTAGTTTCTTCATAATAACTGTATCAAAAATGACAGTAACATGCAGTAACAGTAACAAATATAATTTTGCTCAAACCTGACAGTTCCTCAAGGTGGTCTGTAAGAAATATGATGAAACCAAAAGGTTTACCAACCTAATGATCCTGCATGTTCAAACATGTTCGTTTTGTCATGTTATCACCACTTCCTCCTGTGAAGGAACACTTCTCATGGTTTTGTTTCATTCAGCCCATCAGGTCTTGCATTTCTTTGTTGCATTGTTTGCATTTTGCACGCATGCCTGCTTTACCCATAGAGAAACTTCATTAAAATATTCCCAAACTAGGTCTCCTTTACAGCTCGCTGCCATTGTAGGTTTTCTCTTCAAGGGAGAGGACAATATGATGAAACTCAGGCTACACTCACAAAGATCTTAAGGCTTCTGGAGTATTCTGCTTGAAAAGTTTTTCATTTGTACTTCTTGCCCTTCCATCTTCACACTTAGCTCTTAACATCTCCCCCCTTTATCCAGATCTATTCCACCCCAACCAACCTTCTATTCATTGAACTTCTTGAAACTTAGCACTTAAGAAGTAAGGGGTTGATTCTGTGTACATAGATTGCAGAGGAACAATAGGACCGAGGTCTCTTTCTCAACTCTGTGTTTATTTTAAAACATATTTGCTGTTAAGAAGTGGCATGTTATCTCTGCAGACACAAATTTACAGTTTTGCAAAACCAAGCATTTGTGGTGGTATCTTCTAGACAGAAAAATTACCCAAAGTAATCCCACAGAAACCTCTGGGAGTGCATGACACTGGGTCTGTAATGAATGGATTAATGGAATTCATTTACAAAAAAAATAAACATTGCTTGAATATACAGCCTCATACTACTAAATTAAAAATTAATCCTTATTTCAAAATGAAAACCTTTGGGCTATAATGTATCTTAAAGGAAAAAAACTTTCATCATTGATTTTTATCAACCCTGGACCTAACTCTTCTGTAATTACATAATAATGCTTTCGATTTATTGATCACTCTTTCCCACATACCTGTGGGCTCAGAGCGATTTACAGTTACTCTTGAGACAGTTGGACTAACAATATTTGTGGGGATAGGGAACACAAACATACAGCATTAATTACACACACATTGCAGCTAGCCGGGCTTCATCTGCGGGCTGGGTCATTTGTGTTCCGACGGCATCTTGTCGGCTGGCTGATGATGTCTGGCTTCTTGATGTTGTGCAGCCACACACTGCCACCGCCTGGCTGACTCGCTTCACTGAAGGGAAGCTGACACAGTTCTTTCGTCTTTCCGGTCGCCGCGCCTCAGAAGTTGCCTCGGTAGCTAACACCTTCCCGAAGGGAGGGGTGTGCCCACCCCCTTACGGGTGGTCCCCAATTTATCTACTCACCGAAGCTTTCGAATCGCTGGGTAGACGATGAGCTAGGACAAGGCTTGGTTGCTCACACCAGCACGGGGCTAGAACTGCCAAAGCATGGCAGTTCAGATGTTATTGTTAAGCAGGGAAAAATCCCCTGTGCCACCGCTCCCTTTACATAAATGTAATGTGTGAACCTAGTGGTAACAAGGGGAACAAATTCCAGCATTTTTTGATGAGCACCAGGGAAAAGTCAGACAGCCCTAAATTTCACATAGTGTATGTGCTCTGCTTGGCTTCCTGGGTCATGATCATTGCTGTCACAGTTGGATCTCTCCCTCCTCAGATTTTCCTGCCGTTATGCTCTGCTTCTCTAAGTATCAGGAGGGTAGTACAAAACGTTCTGTTAACCATGTTTGGGGAGGGTTTCTCAGTAGATTTGGAGTTGGATTCTGGTAAACATCCTCACTTCCATCAGCTGGGCTTAATAAGAGCTTGTATAGCTAAGTACTGACCCTTCTGATGTCCAAACGCCTGGGGTTATTGGACAACATTTAGCAATGGACTCTGGTTCTCTCTTGTGCTCCCCCTCCCCCATTCGTCCATGGCCAGTTCCCAGAGGAGGTGTTAAGAGTACCCCTTCATGAAGGCACTTATCTTCCTGGTCCCTGCCCAGAATTAGTGTCCCACTTAAGTGGCCCGTTCTGCCCCTTTAACTGGCCCTGGGACGGTTAGAGGCAGGAGCAGGCTTGCACACACCGGCACCTGTTCCGAAGGGTCTGGGGAATATAAACCACATTCTCATCTGGCCAGGATGTGTCTCTGCAGTTAGTAATGCATCGGCTGCGTGTCCATGGGCTGCCTGCTCGTGTGTGTTTCCTGCAGCCAGCTGAGTTTTAGGGGGAGCAGGCAACCCCCTTCTGAATGTCCAGTGAATGAGGTCAGTTTTCTGCTTTGACCTCTCTCTTCTTCACTCCCTTCCTCCCAGTCTTCTGAGCAAAGGAGAGTCTAGTGTTTGTATGTGTGTGACTTCTCCTTGCCGAAACACAGAAGATTTTTGTATTGAACTTTGTTGACCTGGGTTGGGCAATATTAGTAAAAGTAAAGGTTCCCTTGCTCAAAAGCCAGTAGAATCCGACTCTAGGGTTGCGGTGCTCATCTCCGTTTCAAAGCCGAAGAGCCAGCGCTGTCCGAAGACGTTTCCATGGTCATGTGGCCAGCATGACTAAACACCAACGCGCACGGAACGCTGTTACCTTCCCACTGAAGTGGTACCTATTTATCGACTTGCAATTTCTTGCTTTCGAACTGCCAAATACGACTTGCTTTTCTTTTCTCTCCATTTGCCATTAATCCCTATTCTTTATTAATAATGAAAAGTACCCTTTAAGATAAAATCTCAGATTTCTTGGTTACAACTGCTATTTCATCCTCTTATACTGCTCTGCAGCCTACTATCCAGCTCAAGATCTAAAGAGCTGGAGGACGATGGTATTGTACACCAATAGGGAGGACAAACTAACTTCTTGAATGGGGGTGTCCATAACAAGCAGGGAGACAGAATATATTCCTCCTACCTCACTTCTGGATCTGCTCAGTAGAGTTGGTTTGCCAGCTCTCTCCTTTCGTAGACTCAGCTGGTCTAACTATGCTGATCCATGCTTTTTTAACCTTGCCCATGGATTACTGTAATGTGCTCTACATTGGACTGCCCTTGAAGACTTCCACTGATTCAGAATGTGGCAGCCCAATTATTGTCAGGGGTTAGCTGATGAGAACATATCTCACCCAACATAAGCAACTAGTTTGGTTGCCAGTTTGTGTCCCAGTCCAATTCAGGGTGCTGGTTATAACCTCTTAAAGCCCTTTGTGGTTTAGGACCCATATATCTAAAAGGCAGTTTCTTCCTATACGTCTCCATGTGCCAACAGCTATCACCATATTGGTGGACCCCCACTTAAAGTAGCCCACCTGGCATCAACCAGAGGCTGTGTCGGTTCCATGGCAGCTTCCACTTTGTGGAATGGGCTGTCTGAGGAGGTGAGGGGACCACCGTTTTCAGAAATGTTCAGGAGGCAATGCAAGGTCATTTTATCCGTCAGGGTTTTTCATAAACTGCAGGCATTGTTTTGGGGGGGGGGGAGGCAGCTATCTGGGGTTTTATTTTGTTGCTTTTAAATTGTGATATCTTAATCAGGATTCGCAAGCTGCCTTGAACCATGAGAAAATGTCGAATTATGAATACTTTTTAATACATTTCTGACAAACCGCTCTGCTTTTCAGGTGGTTCCCGGCTATGGTCATGCAGTGCTAAGGAAGACTGACCCTCGCTATACTTGCCAGAGGGAATTTGCTCTTAAGCACCTTCCCAAAGATCCCCTCTTCAAGCTGGTGGCCCAGCTGTACAAGATTGTCCCTAATGTGCTGCTGGAGCAGGGCAAGGCCAAAAATCCTTGGCCTAATGTGGATGCACACAGTGGAGTCCTTTTACAGGTGAGTTGTCGGGCCCAGCCTCCTGACTTCCGTGGGGTGGGAGGAACACAAAGGGTTTACAGCAATACAAAGCCAACTTATGTCCTTAGGGAACCTTTTTTCCATATTGACTGATTTGCCATGGAAACTGTGTATTACTGGGTGTTCTGGAATGCATCCTAGGACATGCGCTTAGTTTGTGGGACACAGATGAAAGGGCTGTCTGGCCTTGCTGTTGTCCTGCACAAACTGAATGTGTGCTCTGGAATGCGGCCCAGCACACCTCTGTAGCTTTTTGTTGTAGGAAAGATTGGCAGTTGTTCTGGGCATCCTGCCTGCAGTTTGTCTGACACGCCTAATAACCTGGTTCAGGAACTTTGATAGGCATCTACAGAACACAATTCTGGAAGCACTGATTTACTGACCACAGGCAGAAGAGTGATGGTGTGCCTCCCTCTAGTGGTGGCTGCTGGGCCCTACAGCTGCCGATTCTCTACTTCTATGGCTGGATAGGGCTGAAATCCGAAATGGCTGTGAATTCCTTGTAGAGGATGTTAATATTATAAACAGGGTGAAGCGAAGGATCAAAGAGCTGGTACCTTTTGAGTCCAACTTTCATGCAAAATTGTTTTTTAAAATATTTATTAGCTACCTTTCTTCCTTGCAGAACTCAAGGTAGCTTACAATATTAATAAAACATTATAAAAAGTGTTACAAAACGTATAAAAGTCACAGTGTAAAGACTCCAATTAGGACCGCCAATAATAAAAGCTAGGTCATTCAAAAGGCATTCCTAAATAAAACCATTGTCAGCTGCCTCCTGAAGATCGACAGTGAGGGGGGCCCAGGAGCACCTCCTTGGGGAGGTGGGTCTATAATTGTGGGGCTGCCATAGAAAAGGCCCTCATGTGCCACCAAACAAACATCTTTAATTGGTGGGACTGCCAGGAGGATATCTCCCTGCAGTCTTAATTCCTGGGCAGGAACATACGGGAGAAAACAGTTCTTCAGATACCCCAATCCCAAGCCATGTAGGAGAGCCAGTCTGGTGTAGTGGTTAAGTGCGCGGACTCTAATCTGGGAGAACCGGGTTTGATTCCCCACTCCTCCACTTGCACCTGGCTGAATGACCTTGGGCAAGCTGTAGTTCTGATAAGAGCTGTTCTTGAAAAAGAGCAGTTTCTATCAAGAGCTCTCTCAGCCACACCTACCTCACAAGGTGTCTGTTGTGGGGAGGGGGAGGGAAAGGAGCTTGTAAGCCGCTCTGAGACACCTTTGGGTAGTGAAGGATGGGGTATAAATCCAGTCTCCTCCTCTTCTTCTTCTTTAAGGGATAAAACCACCTTGAATTTGGCTCAGGAGCTGATTGCTAGCCAGTGTAATTGCTGTAGTATTGGAGACGTAGTCTCCCGATAGCCAGCCCCAACCAGCAGTCTAGCCCGCAGAATTCTGCACTAGCTGCAGCTTCTGAACACTCTTCGAAAGTAGACCAAATAGAGCGCATTGCAATAGTCCAGTCTAGAAATAACAGGGGGTGGGGTGCAAAAGACAAAACAAAACCACAACCTGGTATTTTTTGGGTTCGGGTGTATTGAACCTGAAAAGTATTGGTATTTCCTGATATTCCCAAATCCCAATACTAGTATGGTAGTCAGATTTGGGAAATATTTGGGAAACTTGATTTTTTCGGCTTTGTTATATCCTATGGGGACCATTGTAGTCAGTGGTCCTTATAGGATATAATGGAGAATTGATCCGGGGGTATCTGGGGCGTGGGCCCCCCAGTTTTTTAGGCAGAAGCACCAAATTTGCAGCATAGCTGCTGGTGCCACTCCTCAAAAAACCACCAAGTTTAAAAAAGATTGGACCAGAGGGTCCAATTCTATGCCCCCCCCATCCTCCATTGATTCAAATGGAGGGGGGTAAAAGGCATTTAAAGGGATCACAGTCCCTTTAAATGCCTTCTCCAAGCCACACTTGGAGAACTCTGAAGGTGTTTAAAGGGATTGCAGTCTCTTTAAACGCCACCTGGAAGGCCACAGCAGTCTAAAATGCCCCCCAAATCCTGTTTCTTGGTGTCCCTTTCCCCCCAGGAACAGATTTTAAGGCAGTTTCTTGCACCCAAGGAAACATCTAGTCTGGATCTAAGGCCATGTCTTTAGATAGCTTTATTTAACTTTTGTTGGTATTTATATCTTGTGGGTCAAATAGAGTTGGCTCACAAACGTAGCATCAGTACAATGTCTAAAAATCAGTCTAAATCAATAACTGCCATTAATACGAGAGAATCACACACTAAACCAAACTAAGGGATTTTCCACACACGTGGCTTATTTCAGCTTTTCTTAGTCAACCAGGTAGTATCGGAATCATGTTGAGCGGGGAGGTTCTGCATGTCTTCCCTCCGTCTCCATTTTTCCAGTTGCTACATAGCTTTATTTTCTTAGACGTGCCTTAAAAAATCCAGAGCCTTGAGCAAGGGTTCTGTTGTCATCGGTGGCATATCAGTGCCGCCACCCCCCCTTTTTTATTTGGGACACAGGCACTAGCAGAGGGGCTTGCCATGTGCATGTGAGAGAATCATATTATCCATATGGAAAAATGTTCTTCATTCAAAGGTTCACCCTGATGTTTGGAGGTTTGGAGCTGCAAACTGGTTTTAAAAAGTCTTCCTGTCCACAAGCGGCAGGCCAAACTGAGAGGAATTTGTTGCTTTCAAACAGCCATTACTTAATATTTAGTCATGCAAATGTCTCTAGCAGGCTGAGAACAATGATGTGGGCCAGTAGTCCACTCTGCAAAAGTCCCCACCAGAACTGAAAGTTATAACAAATTCTGCCCCAAACAATAAATAAAATTCCCACAAAAGATAAGCAATAGTAAAGAGGGGGAGACCTGGATAGGAAGGTGCAGGCACATCTTAAAAAAATTATTTGGGGGGGATAGAGAAAGAAAAAGGTACCAACTGCTATGCTGCCTTACAGCAATATAGAAATATATTGCTATCGGGTGAATTCTTTTACCCTTGAAAATTTTGACAGCACAAGGGATTAAAAAAAGAATCCATCACTGAGGTGGGGGGAAGAGAGCCCAGGGCAGGGTTGTCCCGCAGTCACAGTCCCATCAGTGGGAAGTTGGAGGAATCAACAAAAGTGCAGGAAACATTTTGCATGCAGACAAGGACAGCTCAGGTTTGATTGCTAGAAAAACATCAGGGTAAAAATGGTCTTAAAAGAACCAGGGGGGAAAGGGGAAAATATGAGGCGAAACCAATGGCTCCAGAGAACATGCAGAAGCCCAGGAGATAAACTGAAGCAATAAGGGGCCACGACCAATGCAGTGATGCTGTGTGGAAAAGCTTCTAATTTGAAGCAGCTTCAAGATCTCTCATTCCCCCACCAAGGCTTCTGTTGATGGAGGATTGAATTTGTTTCTAGTCACCGCTCAAAGTTAGATGAATAACCTGGACTTCAAAGGGTTTTTGTGTATCTGCTTTGAAATGGGGATAGTCTGTGATAACCTATCTTTAAAACGGATACGAAAATGTTCGTATCTCTGTTACAAAGCTGAACAGATCTTTTGGAGAACTGGGTGTTTGCATGTGCCTGTCCATGGGACTTCAAGGAAGCTAAAGAAGCCCTGTCTAGTGGGAATGTTCTGGAATTTATTTCATTGATTTGTATGCTGGCCGGGCCACTTGCCAGCAGATCTAAGATGCAACACATCTGCATCACCCTTGCGCTTCTCAGAAAGGGTAAGGGTAGCTTTGACGAGCCTGGAGGTATTTGGCAGGTTGGGCTTCCAGTGGTGTTGAGCTGCCATTAGATACGGCAGCAGCCGAATGAGGGGACAGGGAGGCAGGAGAAGGGTGCAGCCTTCATGGGGGACACACGGGAGGTATATTCTCATTGCCTGCATGTGGAATGGCCTCATCCTCCCTTGGCAGCCCTCTAACTATGGACTCTTCTCTCTCTCTCCGCAGTACTATGGCATGAAGGAGATGAACTACTACACAGTGCTGTTTGGTGTCTCTCGAGCTCTCGGTGTTCTGTCTCAGCTGATCTGGAGCCGGGCGCTTGGCTTCCCCTTAGAGAGACCCAAATCTATGAGCACGGATGGGCTGATGGTGCTTGTGGGTGCCAAGTCTGGTTAAAGCCGGGGATGTAGCAGAGGGTAGCTATTGAGGGAATGGTAGAGACGATGCAACTTCTTGGTTTTGTTCAAAAGGGCCTTGACAAGATCTTTCCTTTTGAGGCACTGACCATCACATTTTCAGGTTATTTATCAGAAAAATTCAGCTGAAACTAGAAACGTATCCCCCCCCAACACACCCTATTACCTTTTAATACCACCTAAAGTTAGTTTAAACTCTCAGGTGCAGGGCCCAAGGCAGCTCTTCCCAACCGGAGTTGATGCCCTTGGCTACAGCGTGAGTTGCTGCATTACGACATTGCCCAGAGTTGCTGGCCAGGAGCAGAGGATAGTGCTCCGTTTAACAATCATGTTGTATCACATACTGCTTTTGTATCAGCTCTGCCACCTTTTCCCTCTGTGCAGAGGAGAGATTCTGCATTCTGAACAATATCCTCTTTTTCTAAGCCAGCTTGGAGCACTGTGAGGAGGGGAAGGGAGGTTCTTGCCCTCCACGTGCTCAGTCTCCTACTCCCTTTGTGTATATTCTCTCCCCCCCCCCGCTGTAAAACAGCAGGATTTGTGCTCTTAAGGGTAGAGCAAGGCAGGCTGCAGCTCCCCAATCATCTGTGCTGAGCAGTGGAGTCAAACTCACTCCCCCCCCCTTATCGAAGAGGGGCAGTGGTACTCAGCACGTGATGGCCTTCATTGTTATTGGCCCCCATGCAAGACTCCCATCATTCCCTGTCCTTGGGAGACTGTTCTGTGCTGCCAAAGGCAGAATTCTAGTGAGCTTCTGCTGGGCACTCAGATCTCCCCGTCCCTCCCTCTTTGGCCTAAAGGGGGAGAAGGCGGCACAGGGTGCTTGAAGGAAGTGCTTTTCCCTCCTCTTTGTTTTGATTTCAGTGTTGGTGCTGTGGTATTGAAAGGGTGGGGTTGTCTCAATCTTAAAGAGAAAGTATTTGGTAACACTTTTGTTTCCCAGAATGGCAACCATGATGTCACATGAACTTCAGTGGGCTAGCCACAGCTTTAGAGCAGTGATGGCAGAGAATGGAACCCGTCTCCTGGCCTCCTTTCCTCACTAGAAAGGACTTCATACACTCCTACCTATTTTTGTTTTGTTTTTTCTCTGTGTGTTTGTGTGAAATCCCTTGTCCCCTTGAAACCACAAAATGGAAAGAAACCCCACTCTTTAAGTTGGAGGCACAGTATACATGGCTGTGCAGGCATCTGCATTCTGTTGCAAACTTCAGGTGGTTCTGTACAAACTGCAAAATAAATGTTTTTATTAACAAGTTCCATTATTCAAGTGTCTGGTCCTTGTTCTCAGGCTACGTTGGGCTCTTTTTTTTTTGTATTAGAGTTCTCATTTCCCCAAAGACTTTGTTACTGTGTCTGTTTCCTTATGGGCATTGTGTGTTTGCAGAGGATTCTAACCCTAGGATATGTGATGGAGCTGGTCCACAGTGCTTTTATTAAGATAATTTAATCTCCTGATTTTTCCACTGCAGCTGGAATGAAGGATGGGCAATCACTTGTCACAAATGCAGAATAATAATCCCAAGGGTTTTCACTTTTTCTGCCACTTTGTAGGCGATGTTACTAGTTTACCCACTACAGCTTAATACATCTGTTGCACTATTACATGTTTCTTCCATGATGTATGCTGGCTTGAATTTCATGGGGTTCCCAGCTTGTCTCTCATCTGCACATGGACTAACTCCCCCACACACATCTGTTTAGCTTCTTGTGTTGTTCCAAGCATTCTGTGCCTGGTGACATGAACTTCATCTAGTGGTGGAGGAGCAGAAGGTGGTGTTTCCCCAAATCTGGTTTTCATGGTTGTAGGCAGGCAAGCTAGATTAGCAGGAATCTTGCTTTTGCTGTAGTGGAGACTTTTCATTTATGAATTCCTTAGTTGCCACATCAGTGTACATGCACACTGGCCACCTACACAACATAACCATATACAGTCTTGGTATCAGTTATGTCTTGCTTTTTGGGGGTGCTAAGTTCCTACATTAATTGGCTAGTGGGAGGGGGGTCCTGTGCTGTTTTTAAGACTTTAATGAGAAGTCCAGCTCCTGGTTGGGTGGCTAAACCAGTTCCATTGGAAATCAGGAAATTGGCTAGTTGCACTCTTTTGATTTATACTTCTGTTGCTGGGCTTCCTCTGTTACACTGGGCCCAGATAAAACAATATGATTTCAGTCTCTGTGTATTTACTGAGACACAAGGCAGCAGCTGGAGGTTTTTCTGTCTTATCTGGGCACAAACTTTATTCATTGTCTTTAAGGAAATGGGAGGAGTGGTGGTGGCAGAACGGTTGTTGCTTTTTAAAGTTAATAAGGACAGGCCTGGATATAACCTTCTACTTGCAAATTTACTTCTGGCAAGGGAAATTTAAAGCTGTCTGAATAGACACTCGGAGGGAAGTTGCAACTGGAAGGGGGGGGGGGAAGAGGCTCATTTAACCCAGGCCACCTGTTACCACTTGCTCTAGAAGAATCCAGCTGCAATAGACAGTAATACATGCAGTACTGGCTGCAGTCCTGTTCACAGGTTCCAGTGAGTTCATGTACATATGTATGTAAGAAAGAGCCAATGTGCAGTGTTTACAAATTGTGGACCGGTACCTGGGTAAATGTGGGGTTTATATCATGTGTTCAGCTGTACATGTATTGAATAAATTCAAGTGTATACTATATAGTGTTTCCACTGTACTTTGAACAGATCTAGTGTGAGAGAAGGCACAGATGTTCAGAAGTCTACTGGTCCATACTCAAGCATAATGTTATTCCTTCTAAGGGCCAAACTAAATGATATCCGTGGCTCAGACCAGTAGACATCACCACCATTTTGAAGCCTAATGAGGTGATTTTAAAATGCTGCAGGGGGGGCCTAACCCACCCCCATGGCTTTTCAAGTGCTGCACCCTCCCCCAATAGCTGTTTTGGCTCTTGAATAGGCTGGGGGGGGAATCTGAGTTCCTCATCCCACTGAGCTGCAGGCCTGATCAAGATCAAGCCCCCACACCATTTTTTAATTCCCTCATTAGGCTTCAAAATGGCAGCAGGATCCATAGTTTCCAGCCTGTGGACACCACCATGTCCAGCTTGGCTTTAATGCTTTCATATGGAGTTCAGCAATGCTAATGCAAAATGGCTGTTGGGAGAAAGTAGACTGTGAGCATATCCCTAAGGGCACAGGGCAGTGTACATAAGGAGTTGGAACATAAGAACCCCAACCTCAGCTGAACTTGGGTAAACCTTTCCTTGCCCTTAAAGAGTACTGGGCACATGCTGGAAGGAAGCCACTGCCTGGAGAAGGAAGGGAGACTGCTGTAACCCCTTCTGGAATTCAGTTCCCAGAAGTCTTCTGTAAATAGGCTGGATCGCTTGGGTTTGCGCCAAGTAACAGAGGCTGCTGCACTTTGAGAGAACAGCCTGTCAAAAGCGACAGTATATTATTCCCCAACAAAACAGAAGCAGCTGCAGGGCATAAGACTAATCAACATTCATACAAGGATCCTTGTATCTCAAAACCGTGCACATTTTCTTCCTGCCAAATTCTGGAAAACCAGCCCAGGTTTTTCATGACTATACTGTCCATATACAAGAGCTTCAGTCAAGTGAGCAATCACAAAAAGTGGTGTGGTCCCATGAGACCCTAGCATACTCTTTCTAAATAAGTATCTCCTGTGATCTGTAGCCAATAGTTTTGTTCCAGTGAGGGGTTATTGCTGGCCTTCTGAAATATACACCTGTTGAAACCCATGGGGTCCAAGCAAGCTGGCTGGCCAGAGGCCTTTGCAATTCTTTTCCACAATTTAGTTAATCCCCTTTTAACTGACGGTAGATGGGCAGGGCCACTGCAGCTGTAGCCCTGTGCCACCCAACCTAACAGCACCCCAAACAGGAGTTGGGCCAGCCATACATTTATCCAATTTATTGGATGCTGAATATAGAATGTGTGCTTCTAGGAATATACTCTAAAGACTCATACAGCCTGCAATTCTAGCTCTAGCTGAAACAGGTACTGGAGAACCTCATGCCATCTGTAGAACCTGCAGCCTTTCCTGTTCCACCACACCCCAGGCACCCTGTAGCACCAACTTTATTGCAACCCATAGGTATGTTTCAGCCATACTGCCGATGGTCTTGGGGAAAAACCACAATGCACATACGCTCTTTTGCAAAGAGGTTTTTTTATTGGTCTATAAAAATGCTCTTGGGATTGGTTCAGTCTTTCAACTTTTTGAGGAGACAGGCTTTGCATCTTTTTTCCTCCAGCAATAATCCCATTTCCTAACAAGCTGAGGTAGCATGCACCAGGCGAGACAGCAGGAGTCAGGTAAGTGAAAGCAGAAGGCACTCCAGCATCTATGCCACAACTGCTTTGATCGTGAGAACAGTAGGATTGGGGGCTCAGCATGGGGTGGCTTAAGTTTCAATGGGGTGAGAAAGGACACCCGGCTTACAAGAGCCAAAGGACATTAGGACACCCCTCAGCCTGTAATGTAAGACATCAACAGGAGGGTGAATGGCCCAATTATAAGCCAGGTCCAGCATGAGTCTCATCGATGCAAAGCCCTTACCAGAGAAACTCGAGCTCAGCAGAGACTCAGAGAATTCAACATAATGAGGACTGAGTTTCAACAAGCACTTAATGAAGAATGCTGCTTTGACTTATTTTATTTAACCAGAAGAGCCCCACTCCACATACACACACCTAACATTAAACTCCCTTGAAACCAATGGGATGTCAGTCACAATTTAATAACTTTAGGTGACCTGATGCCATGATCTATTTCTGTCAGTCTAAAAGGGACTCGGCTGACATCTATATTAACGCAATTCATGATTCAAGGATCATCTTTACAATAATTCCAACTAGTCACACAGGAAAAAAAATAGTCTCAGCAGAATTTATACCACCCATCCTTCCAAAAAACAAGAACACTGTTTTAGCACATACAAGCCGGTCTTGGTCCTTTCTTGGCAAGTGCGTAATGGTGAGCTGACCACTTGCATTTAGTCAGTACTTAAGTCACTGCACATCCAATGAGCACTTTGTTTTTATATTTAAAAAAAGCAGGTTTCTAACACTCATAGCTATGAAAGAAATATCCCACCAGAAGTTCAGAACACCAAAGGTACGGACAGAGTAATAATTGCCAAAACCGGTGTCATGACAGCACTGGAGAACAGGACCCAACAACCTTGTGGGATACAAGTGTGCACAGTAAGAGCCCAGCCAGAAGAATCTCTGCGATTACTACTAATCTCTCTCTGGCCACATCTGCGTGGAAGGCTGATTTTCCTGCAGCCCCTTCTGACCCCCTATGAAGATCAGTCCTGGGGAACAGCTGCTTGAGTCGGGGGGGGGGGTGCAGTAAGGAGAGGGAAGGGGTGAAATGGTTCCATGTACATCTTTCACAAGCCCAGTTCCGCTGATGGAAGTGACGAGGAGGCGGTTTGACCACCTCCCCTGCTACAGCCCCCTCACCTCTGCACAGGCTGTCCCTCCCCACAGAAAGCAGCAAGCTCGGTGGAATGCACACAGAAAGAGAAACCACCAAGGCAGGTACTCAGGCAGGGAAATAGCTGCTTGTATGCATGGCTGGCTGCATTCCATGCTCAAATGGGAAGCTCATGCCCAGACAACCCCAGTTCTGCACCAACACTGAATTCAGTGGACTGTATGAATGATACCAATTAACTGTACGTCATTCCCTCCCCCCCCCCTTCTTCCCTTCTTGGCACTTTTTATTCTACATTTTGCAAATATGAGGAATACACTCCCAACTACTGGAAGCCTTGGCTATTCCTCTTGACTTCTGCGTTCTCAGTAGGCATTGCCTGCACATTTTCACACATATCTTCATAGCCACAAGGACTAGAAACCTGCTTCTCACTTTAAAAAATGAAAACTTGAGATTTGTAGGAAGCTGAATTCTGTTCTCAATACCCCACTGGTCTGGCCCCCATGCTGTGCTTCTGCAGAACAGCAAGCCTAATGTAGTCAGAGCGAGGCTTTCTTTGAATCACTAGTCTCTTGAGGTGACTGATGCCTTTCTACACACAGATACTACACAACTGGGCAAGTGATAGTCTAAAAAGTGCAAACTGAAGTGTGTTCAGAGAGAAGAAAGTTCCATTGAGTTTAATGAGATTTACTCCATAGGAGACTGCAACCTTAATAGGCCAATCAGTGATTTTCTACTAAGATTGCTAGACAGAAAGAAGAAAGAGCCCTGGCAACTTCAGGAGGTTTACAAAGAAGGGAGAACTTTTATAGAGACTACACCTTATTACTACCTGGCACTGGGAGAAGCTGCATTTGCTTGAATTATTTTTGTAACGCTTCAGCATACAGAGCGGTTTAAAAGGATCCTTGACAGAAGCTGTGGGTGAGAGGCAGCGACTTGGCTCCCAGCCACCTGCTGACATTCGAGTGTGAGGCAGGCATCTGAACCTGGGGCTTTCCCTGTTGAAGCTCAGATCTTCCTTCTGTGTAACTGGACCCTCTAGGGGTCCATATGGCATCACACTTTCGAAACAAAATGGGGAAAGTGCACTGTTCAGCATTCTGTGCTAGTCAGACATCTAGATAGGGGGGAAGTTGCAATTCCTCCCCCACAATGCACCCTTAGGATAAGGACAGGTAAGCAAGAAGGTTCCCTTCTAAACTTGCTGTTCTCCATTAGTACAGTACAGAATGTGCTTGGTCTGCTAAGTGAATTATTTCCTCCTGGGTAATTAGAAAAAAAAAGAATAACTGCTCCTCCCAGGGCAGCTTCCTCATTATCACAAATACTTCAAATATACAGAGAGGAAAACTATTTGCTTCCATGCAGAGTCTCCTGGTCCAGGAAACTGGCTTTCAAAATGCCTCTCCTTTTGGAAGGAAAGGGTAACATCTGCCATGTATACTCCACCATAGTTGGGCCCATCTGTCTTATATGTAGGACAATGGCATAAACTGGGATGAAGATCAAAGAAAAGGGTGCTCTTTGCAACCAGATCTTCATCAGCATGTTGGGAAAAGAGTGCTACCTTTTTTTAGCAGGACGGGAAGAGAGAATGCTTTCAAATCTGAACCATCATTGGCAGGGAAACTTTCAACAAAGGATATGAAATATTGGTCTAAATCCATAGTCACACTGATCATGGTGTAGCTGTACATCACACCATGGTTGGTATTTGAAAACCATCAGAAATAAGAAGGGGCTGGACTCAGGGAAGATACCAGATATCCAAGTTGCTACTTCAACATAAAAGACAGGAAAGCAGTCTTTCCACAGGGAAGTCATCAAGAGGAACCGCACAGATTTAAGGGGAGCTGACAGACATATACGCAATGTTCAGCAAGAGAACAACCAGTTCTCTGTGGGATAAAGGGAAGCCATCAGAGAAAGATGCTGGTCCTGGTGGAAATGCCATGCCACATCACAAATGACTGATCAGAGATCTCTGCCACAACAGACAGCCTCACATCAAGATACAGCCCTGTCCAAGAAGGGTAATCTCAATGGTTCACATGTTGCTTGCTTCCAATTACCCTAAACATGGCTTCAGATGTGACCTAGCCCGTGTCTCTAAGACTTTATCAGCAAACTAGCCATCCGCTATGCACAGGCTTTCCCAGCCTGCCTTTTTGACTTGAATGTCAATCACAGGGCAAATGAACAAAAAAGGGAGAAACTTGGAAATCTCTTAACTAGGGCTAGAAAAATCTTGATGCTGGAAGACACCTCAGAGAATGATTGATGGTTTCAGTTCTATCCGTAAGTCAAGCCTCTGTTGAGCCGTCCTCCAGACAGAACTTTTTCAGCGCACTGGCTTAGGTGTTAGTGCCACTGCACCACCAACATTTGAGGAAGCAGAGGGTCGGAAAGCAGTGCCTAAGATTTATATAGCGCTACCCTGCTCCCGCTCCTCCCCACCGCACAACTCAATACTCTCCTTCTCCTCTCTCCCCTTCCCCCACAAACTGACCTCATTCAGTCCCAATGGTAAACTATGACAGCATATAGGTGCGCACTCATTCTCTCATACAGACAACTCCCTCCCACCTAACCACTCTTGGGAACCAAAAACATACAGTACACTGCATGGCTCAGCCCTTGATATGGGTGCATTTGAGGGATGGCAGCTCCACCCTCTTGCCAAGGGAGACCTCCCCAACTCAACACCAGCAATAATGTGCGTCCACGGCTTGTGCAAAATGTGCATCTCACTTAGGTAAACTTATCTTCCTGATTAGCAGAGTGTGGCAAAGTTAAGGAAAACAAAATGGACCAGAGAGACAGAGAGCTCTCTCTCCTGGGATACCCACACCGGCGTCATGGGAACAGAAGGCAGTTTCTGGAACAGCTAATTAGATTGACACCAGCCATGATGGCTGTGGGACGGAGCTTCATGGGACAAAACACCAGAAACTGTGGATTCCAGATGAAGCTCCTGAAGAGAATGGAGCCCTAGTCGCTCGCTTCCAGATGAACCCTCTGCAACACACAGCGCACAAGCCACAGCCGCTCTCCTTGTACAGAAAGAGCAGCCATGGTTGTAGGAAGGCAGGGAGAGGGGGGGGAAAGAGACTCTACTCAGAAACAATCAGCCCCCAACCTACTAATGCCTTACCCTAGCTGCTGTTTAGGGCACCGGCATGCAACCATGGAGCTGATAACATGGAGGAGGCTTGCTCACACCATAGCTCCAGTGCCTCTAGCTTTCAACTGGTCAGTTTTCTCCACTAGAGAGGTTAAATCAGACACTTCTCCCTCTACCTGCCGCTAGAAGCCAGGTATGTTTGGGTGCTTGGAATATGGGGTCTAAACAAACCAGGAGAGACGGGAAATCTCGACTCTTAAGAAAGCGCTGGCGGCAGTCACAGCAGACCGCGCGGTTTCTCCTTGCCTGGCCTCCCTCCCACCCATTTGGGCTTCTCTTCTCACACCTCTTTTCTGAAGTTAATAGACTCCAAGAGTATCCTTGGAGTCTGGTAAGCTTTTCAGCCTTCATTTTGCATATGCATCTTTCCTTTGTGTCTGAAAGCTATCCTAGACATCCTAAGTACAAACAAAGCACAGGTGCAAAACTTGGATGAGGAAGAGCCGCCCAGGCCAGCTGCTGCCCATTGCTTGCTTGTTTTTGGCGCCCCCAAGCAGCCATTACAGAACATCTCCTTTCCTCCACTCCTTCATAGCTGCCTGCTTCCCCTCTGCTGTGCCTTGTGTGCTCTCCGTTTGGCTTCAAACGTTCCAGAGCACAGCTGGACAACCCGGTTATTATGCTGCTGTTGCAAATTCAGCTCCTAAATGAGACTGCCAGGCAACTGGCACAGCCAGCCCCACCTTGTATTGCCAAGAGGCAGCCCCAGTCTGTTTATTCACATGATTTAAGAGGCACAAAAAGAGAACCTGATCGCATGTGACCGCTTCTGCTACCTTGCTCTCAAGAAACAGGGATTGGCACAGTCCACAGCCTAAGGCAGCCACATGAGCATATGCCACGGGGGTGAATGGCAAGGGGATGGAGAGGAAATCCTCAGATTGGGGATTTAAAAGAGGGGGAAGCTTAAAAGTAAAATGCGCTAACCCAAAAAAACCAAGGTGACCCAGCATAAGAGCACAGCCAGGCAACTCAAAAGGCTGAGAGGTTGTTCTATAGGCAACACAGTAGCCCGGCCCCTTTTTCTGGAACGAGTCTCTTCATCACAAAAGGTCCAGTGGATAAATTAGACAGGATACTGGAAGAAACCAAATAAATAGGTAAAAAGAGATGGGCTGGGTAAGCCCTCGAGCGTGCCTCCCAGCACAAAGAGTCCGCGTTGCCTCCACAGCAGCCGGGCAGCCTTCACGTCTGGTGCACCTCGTGGAACATGAGCTCTCGGGGAATGCGAGTCTCAGGGCCGAAGTTCTTTCCTGCCCGCCGCTCAAAGGCTGCCACCATCTGCTTGACCACTTCATCGAAGAAAACTGTGGCCAGTTGTGAATGCAGCAGGGAGCGGAACTCAAAAGAAATCTGAGCAGAAAAGAAGGAGAAGGAGGATCAGACGCCACCAGTTCAGCCGCGGCTCTCTCCAACACACTACATTATAACACTTGTTTTTCTGAACTGGGGGAGTTTGCTGTGCAAGGCTGAAGGAATCCCCTACTTTTGTTGGGTGGTCTGTGATTAAAGTCTACAGGTGATGTGCAGCTTCCCAAGTATAGCTCTGACAAGGCTGGCAGAGGACAGGGACAGGTGCATTCGTAGTCAATCGCAAAAGTTAAGTTTATATTCAAGTTCCTATGAGAACTATTCCAGCAAAGCAGTTGCAGTACTGTCAAAGAATGTTTCAACAGCAGAAGGCAACCTTAGCTTCATTGCTGCTTGAGGTTCTAGCCTAAATTCCTCTCCCCAGTCACTATCTTCCTTTGTTGGGCTGGGGAAGCATCTACAAGATGCTACCTGCATCCTATAATGATTGGTACCCCCTCCCCTCGCTGCCAAGGGCAGCACCATCTGCATGCCAGGGACTTGAAGATGACTCTGTCTAAAAGCAGAAGCTACTTGACAGGTCCCTCAAGCATAAAATTTTGCAGACTAAGCAGACAGCCACACTGCTATGATTGGCTGGGATTATTTAGGAGTACAAGAAAAAGAAGGTCCATTTCTGCTTTGTGAACTATACTTGGCACACACACACAAAAGTGAGAGGAGGAGCAGCTCATGTGTCCCATAGGGCATCCCCACACTGTAGCATGGAGACCCAGTGAGAATCATGGCTGAGACATGCTCAATGTCATTATTTGAACATGAGATCAAGCCAGGAGCCGTGGCTCTCAGCGTCACTTGCTCTCCAACAGCCAGGGACTGAATGAAACAGGCACAATGCCCAAGAGCCTTCCGGTTGTACAGATGTGCATTTATCACGTGAGTAGAGCATTTGCTTCCTTCACCGCCAGCCTGGTGCAGTGGTTCGAATGTCAGACTAGCATCTGGGAGACGGAGGTATGTATCTCCATTCGGTCATAGAAGCGCTGTGAGAGCCCCAACCTGGATAGCCCAACCAGCCCGATCCTATCAGATTTTGGAAGCTAAGCAGGGTCAGCCTTGGCTAGTATTTGGAAGGGCAACCTCCAAGGAATACCAGGGTCATGACACAGAGGCAAGCAATGGCAAACCACCTCTGAAATGTCTCATGCCTTAAAAACAAGTCTAGCTCGCCACCTAGAAGAAGAAGAGAAGAGATTGCATTTATACCCCGCCCTTCACTTGGAGTCTCAGAGCAGCTTACAAACTCCTTTCCCTTCCCCTCCCCACAACAGACACCCTGTGAGGTGGGTGGGGCTGAGAGAGCTCTGACAGAAACTGCTCTTTTTCAAGGACAGCTGTGCCAGAGCTTGTGACTGACCCAAGGTCACATCAGCAGGTGCAAGTGGAGGAGTGGGGAATCAAACCCGGTTCTCCCAGATTAGAGTCCCTGCACTTAACCACTACACCAAACTGGCTACACCAAACTGGCACCTAGTGGCGCATAATGCTAAAAGAGCCAAAACTTTGGCTGCCAGACAATCCTCGGATCTCCTGGCTATTCTACACACAATGCCATATGATAATTATTATTATCTGAGGGTGATTATGGGCCAGTCACTCTTTCTCAGCCTAACCTACCTCATAAGGTTGCTGTTGCAAGAATAAAATGGAGGAGAATGATGTGGTAAGCTGCTCTGGGTCCCTACGGGGGGGGGGGGAGTGGAGCAAAATATAACCCTTGATAAATAGATACATTTCCTGCAACCTGACAGATCCTGGGTTCCGCCTCTTCAGTTAGGCCACAAGGCCATACACAAGTATAACCCTTTCCCATCATAAGAGGGCCAAGCCCCACCCTTATTAGCACAGACTGCTGCAC